ACAAACATGTCATGCATCTACTCAACCATACACTTTGTCACTTCATACGTTATGGGACAACTCCAGTCTTGACCTTCGACCATCCCATGGGAAGCATAGGTCGTATCATGAGTGGGACAGGCCTACAGGATGCGTTAGAAACTATATTTGCTCCGAATGCCGTCAGTCATATGCTCAGCGGGAAAGCAGTAGCCAGGACTGTGAGGGGATTCATGCTGGTGGATTTGGCTTTACAGTCTCTTCTTGTAGAACAGATGTTTCAGGCACAGTGTGAATTCAACGAAGAGTGTACAGAATATCCAGAACTCCTCCAAAGTGTTCTTGCCATTTATGATAACTTGATGAGTGAGCACTACAACAGCAGTGAATCAATTGAATCAAATGAATCTCTGACTGAAATTTCTACCATGATGTCAGATTTGAAAGAGCAGCTTCAGAGGTCAAGGACATCTTCTCTGTGGATCACTTTCTGTGAAATGATGGCGATTCTTCGGCGATTTCTAAAGGCTGAACGGACCGGAAATTGGGACTGACATTTACAGACAACTCGGGAAATGTTAACATACTTCGCAGCATCTGGACACAACCTGTATACAAAATCTGCGTATATTTAACTCTCCAACATGCAAAATCTTGAGTCGGAACACCCAGACGTTTATCACACTTTCAGGATGGTCATCACGTTCTACGGCGTAGCGACCGTTATTGGGCTGGTCTCTCTACTGATCTTGCGATTGAACAAGAACTGATGAAAAACATAAAATCTTGTGGGGGTTTGACTAGAGGACGGGGAATGGATGAAGCCCAGAGAGCCCAGTGGGTGTTATCTATGCCGGCGTGTGCAGAGTACAATTCAGCAATGCAAAACATAACTGGAGTGATCACTCGGTCAGATGATCAGCACAAGGAAACGTCAAAAGGCCGGATGGCGAGAGATTTCAAGGACACCCAGACTATCATTGACTTCCTCAAAGAACGAAATCCATTTGCAGAAGATCTTTCTTTACGGAATATCGTCACTGGAGAGGTTGCAGATGATACAGCAAATGCAGACAAAGCGTTAGAAATTGGGCAGAAGATCCTGAAGAAGATGGTGGACCAACCTGTTACTGAATTTTCCTTCAAAAGATCAGAACAAGTAATCACAGTTGGAACAAAACCCAATTCGAAATCTGGATTTGATCATGATCATATTGATGTGGATCCCCAATTGATGTTCCAGCGTCTTATAACAGCTGCAAATGGTCTGTTTGAGAACACGTCGGATGTTTTCAAGCATGAATTATCCAGTTTCCCATCATCGTTATTTGACAACAACGGATTGCCACGAGAGAGTTGCAAGTCACCACTCGCAGATGCAATATGGTCTCTCGGCACTTGTGAAGCTGACAACACCCTTGATGAAAACGTGCAGCATGTGGTAGATGGAGGCTCCCTTTCTACAAAGAATACCCTGGCGATCTGAGTCAACTTTCAAAGACATATGTCAAGTATACGTAACACATATCAACGTCAGGTATACTGACCCTGTCATAGTTTTTGACAGCTATCCAGATCACCCAGTCACAAAGGACATTACACACATGCGTCGGTCTAAAGGAATCGTGTCACCGAACGTCAATTTTGCGGAAAGTATGCCATTCAAATCCAAGAAGGAAGCTTTCTTGGGAAATCCTGTCAACAAACAAAAGTTCATAGATATGTTGTCATCAAAGTTGTCTGAAAGTGGTGTAAGATGTCTGAAGGCTGTCGATGATGCCGATCTCTTGATTGCACAGTCAGCGGTGAACTTCTCAAAAGAACAGAAAACAGCAGTAATTGGAGAAGATACAGATTTGCTAGTACTGCTCTGCCATCATGCAGACCCGAATCAATAACCTATAATTTTAAAGTCCGATAAGCAAGTAGGAAGAAAACTAAAAATTTGGGATATTAGCAAAACCATCAAATCTCTCGGAGAAGACATTTGCAATCTGCTGCCGTTTATTCATGCAATAACCGGCTGTGACACAACCTCGAGACTGTTTGGTATCGGGAAGAACATTGGATTAAAGAAATGTAAAGAAACTGCATATTTCATGGAACAAGGGAAAACTTTCATTCACAGTTCTTCTTCTAAAGATGATGTCATTAAGGCGGGTGCAGAATGCATTGTACAAATGTATGAAGGATTATAGCACGAGGGACTTGATATTCTACGCTGGAGGAAATTTACTTGAAAAGTGGTATCAGGACACGTTGGCGTCCAAATTAAAACTCTGCCTCCAACCTCTGATGCGGCAAAATACCACAGATTGAGAACTTATCTGCAGTGAAAATTATTAGAAATAAACTACCTTTTTCGTAATTATTTGTTTTACAGCTATTAAGCGAGGCACTTGCATATGCTCGTGTGTCTTTAAGTCATTCTTTTAGTCAGGATTGATTTGTTTAAATGGACAAAAAAGCACAGTCATATATAAAGTTCATTGCAATAATTAAAGATTTAGAATCTATTTTAATTTCTATTAATTTCTATTTTCTAAAAATATTAAATGTACGAATTGAACTGCTTCCATGTGGCATTCATAATCAATAGTCCTCGGGAAGCTTAAACATTTCTTCTCACCATCGATTTAAGAAAGGTAGCCAATCAATTATCAGATTTATTGTAACAAAAGTTAACACCGACTTCACTTACGATTTATAATGAGAGAGTGAGTGTCGGGAATTGATTTTTCATTTACACAATCATACCGTTAGGTATTTTAGTGTTGTGACATAACGATTGAGATGGACTGAATGGAGCTGAATTTTTTGGAGGTGCTGTTGCCGAAAAAATAATTCCAATAAAATTGACTATATGTAGTCGAGTTTTATTACCAATTACATTGCCGTTGGATGATCTGGATATTAATACCAGAACACTAACTTACGTCCCTCATATATCGGCTATATTGTCACTGACAGCAGCGTTAATTATGGGCGTGATAGAAACACAATATCACCTCTCTGACGAAGCCCCTTTGTGGGTATTGTCCTTCTGATTTGACAATTAGATTTTTATTTTAATATTTTACTTCATCAGAGTATTTATCGATTACATGTGGAACCTGTGATTCGTTTGATTTTGTTTTTAAATGGTGACTACTTGTTACATTGGTATCTTCAAAGTACTGGGTCTATTACGTTCATTATATCAAAGGTATGTTGTAAGTAAAACCACAGCACTATTTGTATGAACAGTCACATGCAAACTTAGAGATAAATAGTATATTGTGCTCGCTTTGTCATCAACACGTGTATTTCTTTTCAGTAATAGTTAGCCTTTAGTTGTCTGCCATATGGTGTAATTCTGTTTCGATGGGAGTCGTCATAAAACGTTTATTGAACATGCTAAACTTCTTGACTGATGACTTTGAAACATTTAATATCGATTCGTCTGGCTAACCTTAGTTGGCTTGTTACACGACGTATTTATCTGTATTTGACCATGTTAATCTACATAAATAAATGTCTTAAACATTCTTTGTTATGATTTTAAACTGTTTATTTTCAGATATATCGTCAGATGTTGGTGTCCCGGCGTTATCCTTGTGTCTAGTAGTTTAATATCATATCTTTGTATATATTTATATTTGCAGAATTTGGATAATTTTATTTGTTTATTACGTGTTAATATTAATTCCTCTTTGAGCATCATGTTATTTCGATGAAGCAGAAGACGCTTACCCTTTCGTAACACCTGGCCTTTTTCTCCTTGTACTTTTTCAATGGTTTGCATGTAAATCTTTTCTTTATTCAAATTTCGCCCTAGTTTTATCGATTTTGAGTTAGAATTATGGTTGTGTAGTCATTACCGTATAATGAAACATCTCAAATACATATTAATCTTGTTTTTATGTTTTATTTATGCTATATTTATCGATTTGCAGTCAACTTTCAGGTGGTAATACAGATGTATGTGATAGTTCCACCTTTGTCGAGACGTGATTAACGGGTCGTGATTGCTTCACACTGGGGTCATATCAATAAAAAGCACCTGTTAGCAAAAACAATAAGACCATTTTTATGTGTATTCTCCAACATAAAAAGCGAACTTTCTGAAAATTTATGTCCAACAAGCCATCACGGCACCACTGAGAGTTCTCGCATGTCTAACATAAAACCAAATATTACCTCCCAGCCATGCTCTCTCCGTCAGAGTGAAACTCCCTGACGCTCTGGAGCAATTACCTGGTCTAACTTGTAATACTTTATACTGGCAGATTCACAGGAAATCAATTTTAAAGTCTCCTTATTGTTTCGGCAGCTTCAAATTAAAGGTCCGGTTTTATAAAGTTATCGTTGGATTTGTATTCATGTGCTCTGATTACTGCAATCATAGTCTCACTGCTGCATGAGCTAGACGATATATCAACTCCGATGTTACTCCTGAAAATAAATCTGCGTGTCCACAAAGCAAGGAAATCAATGACGATGGGTATAGTATGCTAGGCGTTAGAGTGATCACCAGTGATCTACGATATACAGATCTGTTTCAACGAAACGCTTCACGTCTCCTACGTCATCAATCCTGCACAACCTCAGTGATGAATGCCCCTTGTTCCCAGTATTTATGTTAACAATAACACACAGGCGGTGCTTTTGATATTTTGTGTGATAATTACAATATGTATACGCTCTCATGTCAGGACAACTCCATTTTCAACACGAGGATGGATACACTTTTGATAAAACATATTGTTATTGTATTTATGGGAAAGACTAAAACCTAAGGAAATGTGATGGTCGTAGTCATTACATTTTTTTCTAACTATGGAATTTTCAGTGTGCGTCATTACTACAGACATGTTCACTGAGTCCAATACATGGTGACAATGACTACAGACATGTTCACTGAGTCTAATACATGGTGACAATGACTACAAACATGTTCACTGAGTCCAATACATGGTGAAAATGACTACAGACATGTTCACTGACTCCAATACATGGTGACAATGACTAAAGACATGATCACTGAGTCCAATAAATGGTGACAATGACTATAAGTCCAATATATGGTGACAATGACTACAGACATCATCACTGAGTCCAATACATGGTGAAAATGACTACAGACATGTTCACTGAGTCAATAAATGGGGACAATGACTACAGACATGATCACTCAGTCCAATACATGGTGACAATGACTACGGACATGATCACTGAGTGCAATACATGGTGACAATGACTACAAACATGTTCACTGAGTCCAATACATGGTGAAAATGACTACAGACACTGAGTCCAATACATGGTGACGATGACTACAGACATGATCACTGAGCCCAATACATGGTGACAATGACTAAAGACATGTTCACTGAGTCCAATACATGGTGAAAATGACTACAGACACTGAGTCCAATACATGGTGACGATGACTACAGACATGATCACTGAGACCAATACATGGTGACAATGACTACGGACATGTTCACTGAGTCCAATACATGGTAACAATGACGACAGACATGATCACTGAGTCCAATGCATGGTGACAATGACTACAGACACTGAGACCAATACATGATGACAATGACTAGAGACATGATCACTGAGTCCAATACCTGGTGACAATGACTACCATACATGGTGACAATGACTACAGACCTGATCACTGAGTCCAATACATGGTGAAAATGACTACAGACATGTTCACTGACTCCAATACATGGTGACAATGACTTTGTTATAGATCTTATGCCGCTTTTTCACACCTATACCACAACTGGGCATCTTCTAAGGTACCCACATGCAAAACGGCAGCAACGATACCCCAGGCTAAAGATGCCCACTGGGCATCATTTCGAATTTCAGTACATAATCGTTAATTTTTCGTTTTCAACAGGCCACGGCATATTGTTATAGGTCTTATGCCGCTTTTTCACACTTAAACCACAACTGGGCATCTTCTAAGGTCCCCACATGCAAAACGGCATCAACGATACCCCAGGCTAAAGATGCCCCCTGAGCATCATTTCGAATTTCAGTACATAATCGTTAATTTTTCGTTTTCAACAGGCCACGGCATATTGTTATAGGTCTTATGCCGCTTTTTCACACTTAAACCACAACTGGGCATCTTCTAAGGTACCCACATGCAAAACGGCATCAACGATCCCCCAGGCTAAAGATGCCGAAATTCGATGTGAAAAAGCGGCATAAGAACTATTATGTCCAATACATGGTGACAATGACTTTGTTATAGATCTTATGCCGCTTTTTCACACCTATACCACAACTGGGCATCTTCTAAGGTACCCACATGCAAAACGGCAGCAACGATACCCCAGGCTAAAGATGCCCACTGGGCATCATTTCGATTTTTGGTACATAATCGTTATTTTTTCTTTGAACATGCCATGGCATATTGTTATAGGTCTTATGCCGCTTTTTCACACTTAAACCACAACTGGGCATCTTCTAAGGTACCCA